AAATAATAATAATAATAATAATAGTAAAGATAGTAATCACACGAAATGGAATAAAGAAGAAAAATAAAATAAAAAACAAAAAAAAAAAAAAGAAAAACCCCAATCATAATCAAATAAAAAAAAAACACACATTACCTTCTACTTTCCGTGGAATACCAGTGAAAAGTCATTTACACAAATACTGAAAAAAAAAAGAAAAAGAAAAAAAAAATGGAGTACATGAGTAAAACTGAGTGGATCAATGAATAAATGATTGAATGAAATTGGGAAAAAGAAAAGAAAAAAAAACAAATATGTTAATAAAGAAAGATAGTCAAGAAAAAAAGAAAAAAAAAAGAGTTCATCACGTGAAAGACACACACATGCATACTAGCAGCAACTCTAATCTGCAGCTCTAATTAAAAAAAAATCCCACGGAATATTAAAAATAAATATAAAGAGTAAATAAGAACAAACAAAAAAAAGAAATTAAATCAAAAATCATTAAGTGAGTGGAAAAACACAGAAGAAGAAAAAAAAAAGAATAATAATAATAATAATAATAATAATAATAATAAAGAGAGTAATAAAAAAAAAAGAGAAAAAAAAGTCAATATTGATAGCGCGAAATAACGTCTTTTTTTGTTATATATATATATATATATATATATATATATATATATATAGATATATCTATATATACTTATAATATATTGGTATTTATAATATATTTATATTTATTTTTGTGTGTGTGTTAACAAACAAAGTAAGTAAGTGAGAGAGAGGGAGAAAGAAACAACATTATCTATTCTCATTTGTATTTTACACTTCCTTTTGATTTTCTTCCCTTTTCTTCCCTTTTCTTCTCTACTCATTCATTAGTTGTTTCTCTTCTCTCTTCTCTCTTCTCTCACCGTTGGTTGTACAGCCCCAATCAAGGATCTAAAGAAGAGTCCCACACACTGAACGTTTTGTTTTTATTTATTTTTTTTTTTTCTTTTTCTCTTTGGAGAACCTTGTTCCTTCTCCCTATAATAATAATAATAATAATAATAATAATAATAATAATAATAATAATAATATTTATAATAAGAAGTGTTTATTGGCTGTGGGGCGAGAGGAGTAAAATACTCCTCTTATGAGGTGTTATTAAACAAACAGCCATTTATTTAAAATAAATTAATCCAATCAATGGAAGAAAGAAAAAAAAAAAAAAGAAAAAGAACACAGATAGATAGATAAATAGATAAATACATACATACATTATGGAGAATAAAACAATAATAATAATAATACATTCAACAGAATGTGAAAAGGCAAATTCCCATTTCGTCATGCTATTTATATATATAAATATATAAATACTCACATAATATATATAAATACAAATATAATTTAGAATATATATATATATATATATATATATTGCAATAAGGAAGATATCAAACACCAAACCCCGTTTTTCTCTCTTTATTTTTCTTCTCTTTTGCACACCAAAAATATTTCCCTCACCACCGCGCATATCTGCATTCATTTAAAGTAACTCAATAAGAGCAAAAAACAACAAGTAAACAAGAAGAAGAAAAAACAACAGATCGCCTAATTATTACTCATATATATATACTTAAATATAGATATATAGATATATATATAGAATTATATAAATCTAACCCGCATTTGTTATTGATGTTCATATATATATATATATATATGTGCAGTGAGGAATTGGATAAAGGCCTTTTACCCGCATCTCACTTCTTCAATGGATGTCTCTGCGTACACCCACACACCAGCACTTCCCTTTCATAATATTATTAATAACAATAATGATAATAATAATAACACATAAAGTGGGAAAGATGAAGTAAAACCATCCAAGATAAATAATAAAAAGAAAAACAAACAAAAAAAAAAGGAGAAACCTCCCGCTGCATCTGGAATAACTTGATAATTCGCTCACGTTTACATATGTCTGTATGTAAAAAAGAAAAAAAAAGAGTTGGGTATGTATATACATGTATAATAATAATAATAATAATAATAATAATAATAATAATAATAATAATA